AAAAAAAAAAAAAAAAACGACACTAAAAGCCAAAACCCCAAACTCCAAACCTGTGGCTTCAGGTCATGGTGGGAGACCCGACGGCAGACTTCAAGAAGCGGACGCAGGATGTCTGAGGGTTGAGGGTTTAGGGCTNNGGGTTTAGGGTTGAGGGCTGGGGGCTGGGGGTTTAGAGTTTAGGGCTTAGGGTTTAGGGCTTGGGGTTTGGGGTTTTGGGTTTTGGGCTTGGGGTTTAGGGTTCAAGGTTTGGATTTTTGAGCTTGGGGTTTGGGTGTTTGGTTTTAGGGCTTAGGGTAGGGTTCAGGGTTCAGGCTGCAAGGTTTAGGGACAAAAGCTAGGGTATGTAGGTGTTATAGCAGGACGAGCATAGGATCTTAATGAAGGACTTTATAGGGGGTTTAGGGTTTGAGGTATATTCCGAAACCCATTCAGATGATAGCGTTTGGCAGCCAAAGCCTCATCATCTACAGGTACGTTGAAGAAGCCTCACTTTCCTCGACCCCAGAAGTATGTAAAATAATAAAGCCCTAAACCCCTAATAATAGCCATAAAGGCCATCATTTTGCATACCTTTGGAGTCCACTTAGTCCTTAAGGCTCTGCCTCGTGGGAGGGTTGCGGGGTCAGTGTTAATTCAAGCCAACGAAGGGCCCCGGCTAGACCCCAAACCTTAAGTCCTGAACCCTAAGCACTAAGCCCTGCAGTCCTGAACTCAAAACAAGAAACCCTGAGCACTAAACACTAAAGTCCTGAACTATAAGCCGCAAACCCAGGTCGCTAACATATCTGAACCATAGTCTAAAATCCTTTAAGGGGTGTTATTTAAGGGATTTGAGGGGAGTATTACAGGGGCTATTAAGGGGGATCCGAGGTCTTTAGACTATGGCTCATATCTACTGTCAATGTCAGACGTACCAAGGGATGAGTAAGGGTGAACATAGGTACCTGAACCCCAAACGGTATGTAACATAATGGCCTTTTGGGCTGTTTTCAGGGATTTTGGGCTATTATTTTACTTTCTTTTGGGGGTCCAGGCAGTTTAGAAATTCCAAAATGAATTCCCAAGCCCCAGGTGTCTCACTACTGCCCTAAACCCTAGGGCTTAAGGGTTTATGGCCTAAACCGTAACCGTAACCTGGACCCCCCAAAAATGAAAGATAGAGATCCCAAAACCCTTAGAAAATGTCAGAAGGGCCACTGTTCTACATACTTTGGGGCTAAACCTTCCAAAACTTCATCTCAGAATATCTGGGAGTCATTCCTTAGGAGGCAGCAGGTACCGTTCCCCAAACTAAGACGTAGACTGAAAAAGCGGCCCGAGGCCACATTCCTTGCCAAAAACCGGCGCTATATGGGTAACCCCTATAATAGTCCCCTGTATAATCCCCCTTGAAGGAGCCTAGACTCTACTAGCTCATACTAGTTTAGGGAGGGGCAGGATGTCCCCGCCGTCTCGCATTGGCTTCAAGCCCTTCACAGCATACATCCTGAGCGTCAAACTGGGCCCTTCATTAAAGACCTGCGATTTGGAAATATGAAATTGTTGGGACGCTTTCAGGTACAGCAGTCAAATTTGACCGCCCCCTCCCCCCCCAAAAAAGGAGCCTAAGCCTTAAACAGTAGACTCTACACCTTCAACCCTAAACCCTAAACCTCAAACCCTAGACTCTACACCCTAAACCCTCAACCCTGATCTCTAGACGCTAAACCCTAAATTCTACACCTTGAACCCTACACCCTATAAACCCTAAAGTCTACACCCTAAACCTTAAACCCTAAGCTCATTGCATGATGTGGTAGGAGACCCTCTTGAAGCAGAAGCAGGACAAGGCTGGCAACTGCAAAGACCCCTTCATACCCTTAATTCTACAGTGTAAAACTTTTTAAAGGGGAGTTTGTGCTGCTTTCCAGGTATCCCCGCAAATCCTCCCCTAAACCTCAAGCCCTAAACCGAAAGACGCCCCAAATTATGGAGCTTCCGGTCAAAAATGCCATACAATAATAATCTGAATGGTTTGTGGTATTTACAACCCTGTAATGTTTGCGTACGGAACATTTGAGTGAGCTCCTCTTGATGACAATTCCCGAAAACGGAGCCATGACAAAAGCATCCCAAACTGAGGGACCTACTAGAATCATTAGAACGAGAAGTCATTCCTTGCCAGGTCTACGCAGAACACGTACTCGCACTGTGCGCCCGAAAGCATGCTCATAGAAACTTGTTTGGGCTACTTGGGCCCTTGAATTTCTTTCAACCTGTGTAAGAATGGGCCCGTCCTTTTTGTTTGAAACCTGGGATAAACGTGAGCCATTGCGCAGATAAACGCGGAGTTCGAGGTGCAGCAGGCGCTTTGGGGCCTGGGAGGTTTGGGGGGGTAGGATTCAGGATTTAGAGTTTAGGGGTTGGGGTATAGAGTGTAGGGGTTTGAGGTTTAGGGGTGTAGGATTCAGGAGGGTGTTTAGGGTATAGGGTTTAGGGGTTTAGGATTTAGGATTTAGGGTACATAGGGCTTAGGATTTCGGGAAGTTAGGATGGGCAGTTCTTTGAAAACAGTTTTTAGTGTTTTGCTATCTGTATATTCCTAAGAACCAGCGGAACTTGGAGGTTTCTACCAGGGCTCCTGGGAACTCAGAGCACAGGGGCTCAGGGAACCCTAAACCAAGGGTTCAGGGGTTTAGGGTTTAGGGGTTTAGGGTTTAGGGGTTTAGGGTTTAGGGGCTCAGGGGTTTAGGGCGCTTATAGGCTCAAAGGGATGAGCCAGGACTCGCCACCAACTACCTTTGACGGGCCCTAGGTAGGTCCTGTTTCTGGGTTCTTGGGTTCTAAAAAGGATACTTTGGGGGCTTAGGAGGGAACTACCTGAACCCCAAAGGGTAAGTAAAAACCATTGCCCCAAAACCCCTAGACATTGCCTCAAAGGCCATTATTTTATATAGTAAGATTTTGGTATGGTGCATGGGCCTTCGTTGTGTCACAGGTCTCAGCCGTCCGAAGTTTGGGGAGTCTTACAGTAAGGGTCCCGTAAATGTTATAGTATTTGGGCCCTACAACCCTATTACTTGGGTCCTTGGACCCTTAGGGTTACGCAGCAAAGCAACGTAACGACGGGGCCCCACCTTGAGGGTGTTGCAGTGTGTTTTCGCGGAACCCTAAGGGTCCAAGTACCCAGTATTTAGGTACTTGGGATTTGGGTAATAGTCATTTTAGGATAGATTTTGGGTAAGTATGTGATTACTAGGTACTTGGACCCTCAAGGGAACCGACCTGACAATGGAATCCCCATGAGGTTTCGAGGCTTCGAGGTTGAGAGGCCTAGGCTTTGACGCTTCGAGGCTTCGAGGTTTTGAGGTGTCGAGGTTTCGAGGTGTACTGAGTGCATGCAGCTTGCTTACAAGTAAGAACCCCTAGTTACCAGAAACCTAAATGCTTGGGCTAAGTGTTTCCCAGACCCCCTCTTGATGTCCAAGGATATATCTGCCGCCTCAATGCTATCTCCTGTAGGGTTTCAGGATTGTGCCGTAGTGGGTTTAGGGTTGAAGAAAGGGCTCGTTTTAAGAAGCATCCCACGCCCTGAAGACGAATCCTAAAGACGAATTTCAGGCAAAAAGGACGTTTTATACAGTAGCCAGATTTGTCCGTAAAGAAATGCGAGCAAACACCCTGAAGCCTGACCTGAACCGAAAAGTGTAAAATACTTGCAGTTTGGGCTGTTTGTAGGGATTTAGGGGTTATCATCTTACTTATTTTTGTGGCCCAGGGCTTGCTTAAGGATCGAAGTGCCCCAGAAAAAGCAGGTCACCCCCAAGACATGTAATCACCTTCCCCTTAAGATTACAACCCCCTATGTGATCTACTAGGTGGGCTTCTATTAACTCTACTAAGTCTATTATACATACTGGGCATATTCAATGTCAGGGGGTGGTGTTTTTAGGATTAGAGTGATTACTTGGAGGTCCATTGTATTTATGACCTACGTAGTAACTGTAGTTATAACCTAATTACAAGTCCCAATCTAGATATAATTGGGTTATAACTACAGTTACTAAGTAGGTTACAAGCACAACGGACCTCCAAGTAGAGTAAGGGGACAGGTTAAATCCCAAATGCCCAGCTATGGGGCTATAAGCCCAAAAAACTAGACCCTAAACCGTAAGAATACTTGGACTTTCTGGAATTGATCACCTTTTTCAAGGGCCTAAACCTAATCACGAAATGTTCACCTTTCACGAGGCCGAGGCTATTCGAAAGTACCAGGCCGAGAAGAGCCAAAAGGCCGAGCGGTCGGTGGTTTGATGGGCTTGGGTTTCCGGCTCTACGACTTAAGCCTTTTGTTTTCTACTACCTGAACTCCAAAAGTATGCATCTTATTGTTTAGCTGTTTTCAGGGATTTTGGGCTATTGTTTTAGTTTCTATGGGGGCCCAGGTAAGGCTTAGGTGTAGGTTTGGAGATTTAGGGGCGTGTGTAGGTGGGGTGTTTGGGGCGCGAAGCAGATTTGAGGGGCAAGGTTTGCTTTAGGCAGCCTTGGAATTACTAAGGGATGAAGGAAACTGCTTAGAAAGGGTTACGATAGGTTCAATAGGTTTAGGGCAGGGCTGCTTAAGAGTGTACCCCTAAACTTTAAACCCTGAACCCTAAACCCCAAACCCGTAAGCCTAAACCCGATCTGAAAGTGGACTAAAGGAACCATACGTCTGTAGGGTTGCAGTAAAGCAGAGCCAGCTCGTCAGGTTGGATGTCGACTGCGGTGGTCGAAATATTTCCAGTGCTAGTAATAACATCTATGGGAGTATACTTGGAGGCCCATGGGACTTAGTAACTACGTATAACTGGGATAACCCTAGGGGGGTAGTCCCTATAAGCTTATTCAGGGGAATTATATATGAGTAGGGTTATAAGCCCAATTATAAGTAGTTACGAAGTCCCATGGGCTTCCAAGTAGTACGATGATATGAGGGCTACATAGGGTTTAGGGATTAGGGTTTAGAGACATCACCCCAACAATGCAGAATCAATGGATAAGAGCATGGAAAAACGAAGTGGAAAGCGGGATTTCAGAGACATGGGGCTCCATGGCGACAATTCACAGCATTGTGGCTCTAGACCCTAGACCCTAAATCCTCAAACCCTAAAACTTAAGTCCTCAAACCCTAGATTCGTTGCATAGCTATGGCTGTATCATGTCTATGGAGAATATCTAGCTTTCTTTTCCTGATATTCACTTCTTGAGCCCCGTTGGTGCAAGTAAGCTGTTTAGGGTTTGGGGCCGCATAGCCCGTGATCCCGGACGTGCGGGTTGTTCTATTATGGTCCCTCGCTTGTATGCTTGTATATTCTATTCCCTGTTATTTAGGGTACCCATAGGGCCCATACTTTAGAGCGGATTGCACATTTCCTCAAACCTAGACCACAATTTCAAGCGCCATATCCGAAATGCGAAGGGTGTGGGGTTCATGGTTTAGGGCTACTAAACCCTAAAACCTTAAACCGTGGTTGTTTGGTGCATTTTTATATGCTTAGTGAGGAATGGAGGAAGGTATCACAGGCACGCTGCTTTGAGATTACTGTGATGACTTAGAGATTAGGGTTTAGGGTTTAGTTTTTTGAATGTGGTCGGAAAGTACTTCCTTACATCAGTGATCATCAGAAGTAGCGTTCTACTACGAGTCAGGTTTATGTGTATTTAGGTGCATACATACATATATATATATACATATAGATGTACCCCTTCTTGATATGTACAGGTGTGTATATACATGCATACGTACCTATCTTTGTATGTACACCTCTTCAGGTACATCTATGAGAGAAGTGTGTGTGTGTATATATACATATATACAGGGCTTTCATTACCTTAGGCCACCCCAAAATTTACATGTGTGTATATAGTCCTAATCCGCTGACCTGGAGCTCTAAGTCTAGAATCTCTACACGTTTGAGGGTTCAGGGTTTGGACCTTAAAATCTATGGATACTGTTGGTACTAACAAAGAACTCGTAACTCCCAAGGTATTCGATACTAAGGGTCCTGCAAGATGTTCCGTAGCTGTTAACCCTACTACCCACGCTGGGCCACCTGGCGCCGTAGCATTACAATCCAGCTTTGAAGCTCCTAATCCCTAAGCCTTGGGTTTAGGGTTGTTTAGGATTTAGGGTTTAGGGCTTGGGAATTAGGGCCTAAACCCTAAGCCCTGAACCCCAAGCCCTAAACCAAAAAACCTCTCCAGGAACTCCAGCGCGCGGCAAAGAAGGCGCAGAGGGGGCCTTGGGGTTTAGGGTTGTGGAGAGTTTTTGAGGTTTACACAGGGCTGCTAGGCGGTTTGCGCCGGGTTTTAGAGAGTTATATACGGTATGTAAAGCGTATTTTATGGTTGTATATATATATATGATACAGATGTATAGGGCTCATGTAGGTTTATATTGGTTTGTATAGGATTATGAGTGAGGGTTGGGTTTGATCCAGGCGGCACTGAGGTTTCTAGGGTATGGAGGCTAGCTCAAAATGGGAAGCTTATGGGGACCTAGAGCTATGTAGGAAGCATAGCAGGATTAGGGGGTCCGTTTTTAGTGTTAGTGTAGAGTGTAGAGCTTTTTTGGGAAATATTTGTGTGGGCCTGCAGCCGCACGTATCCAACACGAGCTGCAACCTGGTGCCGCCAATATCCTGTTCGACCTGGTCGACCACTGGACCCTACACCCCCGAGGCAAACCTTAAACCCCCAGACCCAGACTTAGACTTCCTTGCGATGGTAACTTAGCTAAAGCTCCTTAGTGGCAACGCAGTGATTAAGGGATTTCCTTCACGGCCCCACTGATGAAACCCTTAACCCCTAAACCCTAAACCCTAAATCCTAAACCCTAAATCCTAAACCCTAAATCCTAAACCCTAAGCCCTAAATCCTAAACCCTAAACCCCCAATTCTTAAACAGGCCCGGAAGGAGGCTGCCGAGGCGGCCCGCAAGGCATATGCTGGGATATTCCTTGGAATGGTTTCGGGATTGGGGTTTAGGGTTTAGGGTTCAGGATTTAGGGTTTAGGGTTTGGGTTTCAGGGCTTAGGTTTGAAGTGTACTGGGATATTCCTGGGAGTAACCATGCGAGGAGGGATGTAAGTTGGCGGCCCCACCCAGCAATCCCTGTATGTTCCGTCTAACCCCCCCAAAAGAGGATTTTACTTGGGCCGCTGAATCTATCCCCTAAACCCTAAACCCTAAACCCTGATCCCAGTATAGTTTTGGAGGGGATCGCCCGAAGGTTCATGAAAGTTAGCAAATTACGTTTAACTGGACTCAAGAACTGGTCCCTTCAAAGGCCTTCTAGGTGTATATAGAGTTTGGGGCTTAGGGTTCATGAGTCCATGGGACATAGCAACTGCGCTTCAGTCGGCTTATAATCACATATCCGTCATTTCGTACAATTTTCCTAACGGGAAGTAGAAGCAGGGTTGAACAGGCCCAGTTATAAGTAGTTACTACAGGTCCAAGGACCCAGAGAATAGGGTTTTAGGGTCCAAATACTATAATATTTCTGGTATTTGGGCCCTCAAACCCTACTATTTGGGTCCTTGGACCCTTAGGGGTTACTAAGCCCCATGAAGCTCCCAGCGCTGAGTTTACGTTTAGGATCGTGTATATGGAGTTTGTCAGAATTGAGGCCTCCTTGTTGACAATCCTCACCACGAGGATGATGGCATCTCGAGGCTTACCTTGGCCAGTATCATGGCGAAGCGCATGTTTAGCGGTTTAGGGGTTGAGGGTTTAGGGTTTAGGGTTTAGGGTACTTGCCGCCCAGCCACAAATCAAAATCCTGCCATATGTAACCTCTACATAACCCCAGCTTCCCATTCCTTTTCCATACGATTCTCCATTTGATCCAAGCAGTTTTCATGGACGTGCGCATCAGGTTCACCACTTATAGGACTTTTGTGTTTTCTTATAGGAGTAGGAGCCCTATGCCCTAAACCCTAAACCATGAACCCTAAACCCCAAACCCATCTTATTCTGGGTTCAGGGAGTTGGGGTGGCTTGTGGTTTTTGCTGAGAGTTGGGTCCGGCAGCTGGTGTATTCCTTAGAGAATGGGGGTTTAGATCAGGAGGATGTTTTAGGGGTTTACCTGAACCCCTATAGGGGTTATACAGGGACTATAGGGGTTACATACAGGTTATATGGGGAAAATGGCCCAACAGCATGTAGAGTAATGGAAAAGAAAATGGAAACTACTCTATTATTTGGGCTTGGGTTTAGGACCCCCAAACGTATGTAAAATAATGGCCTTTTGGGCTAGTCTTAAGGGTTTAGGGCTATTCATTTTACATACTTTTGGGGTCTAGGCCTTAGGGTTTATAGTCCCCCTTAAGTAAATAGAATATGGTTTTGCGTATACTAGAGTAAGAGCCCCATATACCCCATATTCTATCTAGGGTTTATCTGCAATCCCTGTGACCACCAGAAGCAGAGTCCCGTATTTCCGTATTCTGGTGATCCGGGCCATGAACGCGTTAGGGTTTAGGGGTTTGGGGGTTTAGGGTTTGGGGTTTCAGGGTTTAGAGTTTGAGGTTTAGGGGCTTGGGGGTTCAGGTTTTAGGGCATAAGTAAGGGTTTGGGGTTTACGGGTTTAGGGTAACAGGG